GCCGAGAGAGAGGGGGGAGAGAGAGGGGGGAGAGACAGAGGGGAGAGAGAAGGGGGAGAGAGTTGGAGGAGCGAGAGGAAGGAGAGAGGAGGAAAACGGACGCAGGTGGAAGGTAGCCAAGAGCGGGAAAAAGGCGGAGAGACGGTGGTAAGAGAGGAGTCAGGGAGGGAGAAAGCGAGAAGAGCACCAAGAGGAGAGAAGAGAGACGAGAGACGAATATGAGAGGATGCCAATGAAGCAAAGGATGGTCAAAGAGAAAGGAGATGATGTGAAATCATCATGTGAAAAAGAAAACAGAAGGATGAGCAAAGAAGGATGTATGAAGGACGGAAAACATGTACAGCGTCAAAGAGCCTACTTCGCTGCCTAACCTCTGCGCTCCTGTCCTGCAGCCCCTACGAATTTGGCATCTTGGACCAGTGGTGTATAACTTACTGAGTATTCAGTATAACTCACGTCTTCGTGTACAGACACGTGTAGATGAAATAACTCCCATCTGTTCAGTAGTCAAAACGCGAGAGAGAGAAAACGCGAGAGAGAGAAGACATTGTGAACAGAGACGAGGGACATGAGATAGATGCAAAGAAAGAGAAAGGATGTGAAAGGGAGGCAAAAAGGGCAAGAGAGGTGAAGAGAGGTAGAAGAAACAGGCAGAGGACAACATGGAGGGAAAAAAAGGACGGAACGGAAGAGGACAGAGGAAGAGAAAGTAACGAGAGGAAAAAGGAAAAGGGGGGAGAGAGAGAGAGAGAGGAAGGATGTGAGAGGGAGGCAGAAAGAGGGCAAGAGAGAGCTGCAGAGAGAGAGAAAAACAGGCGGAGCACCACATGGAGAAAGGGAAAAGGAAGGACGGAAGAGGAGAGGGGAAGAGAAAGGAGGAGAGTAACGAGAGGAGAAAGGAAAAAGGGGGGAGAGAGAGAAGGAGAGAGGGAGGAAAGAGGCAAAGACGGCGAGACAAGGATGGATGATTACTACCGCAGATGTAAGCGAAGACAACCCGGTAAACCCTTTCCCAAATTGGGAAATGAAATTACCATTTTGGTACGTTCGGAACACAGCCCTGTGCATTTTCCTAAATTAGTTCATTCAGATTGCAAGTCATTTTATTCATATCAATAAATTACGTTATCTTCACGAAAGTGCCACGTGGCTGCAATCAGTTACAATCATATCTGAGTGATGGGTCACTCACTCAAGTATATGAATACCTTTGTTAACCGTGTACTTCACTACACGAAGTTAACCCACCAGCGAACCTTCCGATCGTATTACGGGAAAGAACTTAAACAGAGTAAAAGAGGCGAAAAACTTGCGATGGTGAAGTGCGCACACAAAGTAGAGAGGTCCTGTGTGTCAATGCCAAGTACATTCCATGGCAAAATACGTGATGACTCCCACGGATACAACATAATTCCCCACCATCCCCCCAGCTCTTCCTCGCCCATCACACCGTCCTCTCTCTCTCTCTCTCTCTCTCTCTCTCTCTCTCTCTCTCTCTCTCTCTCTCTCTCTCTCTCTCTCTCTCT